TCCTGCCTCAGCCTCCCCAGTGCTGGGATTACAGGTGTGCACCACCATGCCTGGCTTGCTTTGGTTTTTGAGATAGGGCCTCACTACGCAGCCCAGGCTGGCCCTGGACTTGCAGTCCTTCTCCCTCAGCCTCCCAAGTGATAGGATTGCAGACATGCGCCACCATACTGGCTTTCTCTTTCTCTCTCTCTCTCTTTTTTTTTTTGGTACTGGGGATTGAACTTGGGTCCTTGAGGCCACCAAACTGCTGAGCTAAATCCCCGGCCCCTCTCTTTCACTTTTTTGAGTCCACAGGACTGAATGTATGGGGGATGAGGGTGGTGATGCAACACTGCTGTACTTACACATCCAGCAATCGAAGCCCTAACTGTAAGCCGGGGTGGGTCAGTGGGGTTGGCATGCCCAAACCACGTGACTTCTGTCATGCCCTCCAAATCACCCCCAGGGTGCTAACTTTGTAGGAGTTAAAATAAAAATGGGCAAGAAGGTTGCCTTGAGACATCTGAGAGGCAGCGTGCATCTGTATTGCCAGACTGCTTTTTTACAAACCCTGGCTTTGCTACTTCCCCAGGGCAGGTCACTCTGACTCTCTCTGCCCCACCTGCTCTCCTGTCACAAGGGTTTCAGGATTGCACAGTGACAAACGGTGTCAGGCACAGAGCGAATGTCGTGCAACTATTAGCTGCCGACATTATTATTATTCGCCACTAGCACTTACATACTTCATCCGAGAAGCTCTCATTGTCAACATTTATAATAAATAAATGTGCTTGAAGGCATAGACACCTGCCACGTATGAATTAAGAGGCAGACGGATTGGGCCCTGCAAAAGCATTACAGAGCTAAAACTGACTGTTTGGGGAAAGGATTCATTAAGCATACTTCGGTAGATAGGTCCCTCTTCACTTGCACAGAGGGAAAGAATGAATGTTGCCTCCGAACTCTAAAAGAAAAGTTTATTTATAAAATACTAACAGTCTGACAGGACATGGGGCTTCTCATGGTGTATATTTCAAATCAATTTCTGTGTTTTTAACCTTTCATTTAAAAAATAAACCTGCTAACAAGCTATATGACATACAGATATATATATATATTTTTTTCTTACAGATAGACACCTGTCATAATGAATACTTTCCCCATGACTTCTCGTTATATCTTTTAAATCAAAAAAATAAAGATTTGTATTGACTTTTGTTTGGGGAGTCTGTATGGGTGAGGAAAGGTAATGGTTTCAACGCTTTTGGTTCTTCTTATGCAAACGGAGAGAAGAGGAGATGCCCCCCAGTACACCTGTGCTTGGGGCAGTGGTCAGGGCGGGTGTCCCGGGACAGGACCATACAGAGGCACTCGGGAGCTCAGAGGGTCTCCTCTGCCCTCCTGCCCGCTGGCCCTCACCCAGTGTGGGCTCCCTGTGCTCTCTGGGTCAGTGAGCGAAGCCCCTGCCCAGAGAGGGCTACGGTGAGGCTCTGGCACCTTTAGAAGCGCTGCTCCAGAGGCACGGGCAGCGACAGAAGGCCTCGAGAAGCTTGTGCTGGACAGGGCAGCCCCGCTGTGACCTTGTTCCCTCTGACTCATGGCAGTGTCAGTTTGGGGGTGGCAGTGGGGGACAGAGGGGAGGCAGCTTGGGTCTGCAAACTTGCTGACGCCCTAGGAGGAGGAAGGAGCTTCCGGAACCCAGAGCAGCTATTTGGTTTATGTTGGCAGTCTGGGCGCAGAGCTCACACGAACCCGGGAGGCACAGTCAGGAGGGAGAAAGAGCAGCCTGGTGTGCCAAAGTGGGCTTCTGGGTACACCGCCAGATTTCCTTAGGGCACAGTGAGGTACCACCAAAGGGGCCAGGCATGTCCTGGTGTGAACCTGCTTCCGAGATAGCCACTCGGCCAGGGGTCCAGGCTCAGGAAGTCAAAGGCTGGGAAGGTTCCCTAGGTCCCACCGGCACCCTTCTAATGTGGCCAGGTGTCTGGGAGGAGGTGCTAGGAGCCTCCTCTGTCCCAGAAGATATGTAAACAGGGGCAAAAAGATGTCTTCTTCAAAACCTAAGGTTCCACAGCTGGAGATGCACCTAGGTCCCCAGATGAGTTTAGTGCAGTGGACGGAACCCTGCAGGTAGGTAGGTATTGACTAAGGGGAGGACTTTTACCATGGGCCGAGCCTGACTTCCTGGGCTCCTCTAGGAGCTGTTTTTAGTGTCCTCACCTTTTCAGGTCACAGATCTCCAACACACCCCAAGTGCACGTCACCCAGGCCACACGTATCGGGGAGATACAGCTTGGGACATCAGAAGGACCTGCAGGAGCCCCTTCACTAACACACACACGGGTGTGTGTTCTATGCATATGTGTGTGCATGGGCACAGGTGTGCCCGGACACCATCACTTGTGTGCGTAGCATGTGAGCACAGGTACAAATGAGTATGTGGGAAGGGGGAGGCAGATATCATAGTGCACCAGGTGATTCATTAAAGGCAAAAGAAAATTGGCCTCATGTGCAATATATACACACATACGTACAACGTTTCTACTTACCCCCTGCTTCCTCCCCTAAACTTTCTCACCGGGCTGGGTTAAAATAATCCCCTAATGCAAACTGGGAACTTCCTTAAATGGTTAAACACTCCACAGAGAGGGAAAAAAAGATGAAGTTGTTAAAAAAAAAAAAAAAAAAAAGATGAGCAGGAAAAAAAAGAAAGTGTGCCGCAGCTGGGAGATTCCAAGCCAGGCTGCAGATGTGCTACCATGGAGATGCAGATGCTGCCGGGGGTGGGGCTGCAGCAGCTCCTGGCAAGTCTTGAGGCCCTGAGCACCTAACTCTCCAGAGGAGTGAAGCTGCAGCCCCTTGTTCCGCTTTTGGGGGGGAAAGATTGGGCTTCCCCGCCAATCTTATGGAGAGAAGTCATTGTCTGTGTCCAGAAGCAGGGTCAAATCTCCCATTCACATTTCTCAGGGGGCAAGGGCATCAGGGGAGCCCACACACCTCGGGGAAGCAGTGCCCTTTCTAGGGCCCTGGCCTCGACTTCTCTCCCCAGTTGACATTGGCACAATGACTGATTTGGGGCTGGTAGGCCAGGGTACAGGCTCTCTCTTTCCTTGGCCTGTCCACCCGCTCCCCACTTGGGCTTGCCCTGGCTCTTCTCATCTTCTTAATCAAGGCCTCGCCTTCTCCAGAGCAGGGCTACAGGGCTTGTGTTGGGCACTGCCAGGAAACTCTGCTCACTAAGGGGCCCTGCTCAGAATCAGACAGGCCCCAGCTAAGAGAGGCAGCCATCCATCCATCCCCAGCAGTGCATGGGCCTCAGGCCAGCTTCACAGGGCTGCTGCAGTCCCCAGAGCCCTCAGACAGCCCAGAGAACCTGGTAGAAAGGCTCCTCCCTACCCCTTGCATTGGAAGTCTCAAGCTGATGGGAAGATCAGCCCACCAGCAGCATCTTTTTCAAGAACATTCTGTGGAGCAGATCATGTACGTGTAAAAGCTATACTTCCAGTTAGCTTTTCCTGTCCCCAGGTCCCACATGATCCACCCCTCCTGGCCTGGCCAGCATCTCAGAAGCTGTGTTCAGTGTGCTGTGGGGCTACTGATTGGCCCCTCCTCACTCCTAGCTCTGCCCCAGCTGAGCCCAGCCTGGAAGATTGGCTGGTTGGGGCGTCCTTTGACTCTGTAAACTCAATTCTGGGCAGACTGTGGCTGTTCTGGCCTGTGGACCAGGAACTAGGTCACCGCTCTGGGATCCTATGTGCTGTGCTTAGGAGGCTCTGTGCAGAGAGGCAGAGGGACAGACCTGAAAACAATACGCTGTTGGGAAGAGGATTCCTTAGGCCCATTTCTAGAAATGGACATGTTCAAGAGTGCTAGGAGTCCAGGGGAGAGTAGTGTATGCGCTCCAACAGTGACCCTCACCCGCCAAGCTCCCCAACCTAGCCAAGCTGAATTTCCTTGTTATGGTGTCCTCATTTCGCTCCTTTACTTGTACTGGAAGAAAGAACAGTCAAAGCTCCATCCTCCCATTCCTGACTTCCAACCCCATTCCGGTCCCATTCCTGACTGGTCCTCCCCAGGCTGGAGCCAGGCAGCTCCCCTACACTTCTGCTCCCCAGAACACAGCCCTCTTCTGTGCTCCAGAACTGAACTCAAGCAAAGGGAGGCAGGCATCGGCTGCGTGGCTGCATTAGGACTCTACTTAGCCCTCCAGCCTTTTTTGTCAGGGTCACAATTTTAAAAATATGCAGGAACAAGGAAGTTGCTAAGCAGCTTCTCACCCTTTAGTTGCTTTTCCTTTTCCTAACTAGAGGCTTGGTGGAGAAGTCCAGCAAGGGAGGTGAGCAGTGGATACGGATGAGGCAGGGAAGGGGGCTGGACAAGGCCGTGGGACACCTGCTAGGAGAAAGGGCAGGAGAGAAGGCGGGCTTTGTCTCTGGGACACCCATCCTTTTTGCAAGAGAATGGCCAGAAGTGGCCAGGATCCAGCGCAAGCGGGAAGGGGGCAGTCGGCTAGATGTCCAGAAAGCTTCTCCACCCTGCAGCCACCCCACCTCCCAGCCCTCTGCCTTCTCTTCCTCCCTCTCTCCAAGGACCCAGTCCACTGAGTCCTTTGCTGCTGCAGTGGACCCCACAGTCTCACAGCCGACCCACTGCTGGCCACACGAGTCCGTCCTCTTGTGTTTTGTTTCTTTTTTCTTTTTTTTTTTTTCTTCTTCCTTCTTCTCAGCGCCAGCTTCACTGGCCCTGGAATCTTTGGAAAAATAAACTCAGGACGTGAAAAGTTGACTTCGTTTCTTGGTGTTTTTGTTTTCTGGCAGGCAGTGAGGAAGCAGCAAAGGAGGCGTTTGGTGTCGTTTTTTTCATTCTTTTTCCTCTTCCGACGTCAAACAAATGATGAAAATCCTGCTATAGGAGCCCGGGAGCCAGGGGCAAGGCTGCTGGGGGGACGGTAGAGGGTGCTTTGCTGACTTGGGGGGTTTGGGGGGTTTTGGGGTGTTGGAGTCCGGCTGGTCTTGGGCCGAAAGAGGCTCCCTTGCTGGGTGCTGTTGCTGTTGGTGACGGTGGCGTGGTCCGGCTCACCAGAGTCGCTCTCTGTGTAGCTGTACGCCTGGGCCCGTGAGATGCCCTTCTGCTGGCGACGCCAGGAGTTGTAGTACGTGGGGTCACTGATGTAGTGGTTGACAAAGGAGTGGGCCTTCTGGGGGTTCGGGTCGACCTCATACTCACTGTCACTTCCCTGTGAGGACAGAGAATCAGGGGTGTCAGTGGCCTCGTGGGGACAGGCCTGAACGGTCAGGGCTGGAAGGCACAGAGCACACCGGCTTCAAACTCTGTGCTGCCCCCTGAAGTGGGCACGTGTCAGCTCCCTCACTGCTGAGTGGCACAGAGCCCTTGATGCCCAGGGCCTGCTTCCTTCAGAGCAGAGCCTTGCTGTGAAATGTCTACCACAGGGCTGACTCAGAGCCGGCAGACACAGCTGTCTCTCTTTATCCACAGTGACATATGCTAAGATCCCAAGGGATGGTAAAAAACTCGACATACTATCTTTCTTCCCCATTCATTGGTATATATGGCAAATGAAGAACAATAGTATAGGGGCTGGGGATTTAGCTCAGTGGTACCACGCCTGCTTGGCAAGCGCAAGGTCCTGAGTTTGATCCCTGGTACTGAAGAAAAAAAAAAGTAGTAGTATAATAAAATAGTACAATTATAAAAATATACTGTAAATGAGTTAGATCCCTGGTACCAAAAAACAAAACAAAACAAATATATATACTGTAAAGAAAGTCATGTGCCTGTAGTCTCTTTATTTCTGGAATTTCTCACTGAATATTTTTGGATCACGATTAGACACAGGTAACTGAAATCACAGAATGTGAAACCTTGGATTGGGGGTGACTGTGCCTGATGTGGCTTGAGTTCTATCCTTTTTTTTCCAGCTGAGGTGAAATTCACATAATATAAGTCACATGCTATAAAATCATTCATTTTAAAGCACACAATTCAATGGCTTCCAATATGTTCTCAGCATTGGGTAATCATTACTTCTCTCTAGCTCAAAATATTTTCATCACCCCAAACAGAAACTCTGAAGTCACCAAGCATTCTCTCCCCATTACCCTTCTCTCTCTGAAACCACAAATCTTTCCTGTCTTTAGGGATTTCTCTATTTTGGACATTTTGTATGAATGGAATTTTATAGCATATCACCTGTGTCTGGGTTCTCTGACTTTAATGCAATGTTTTTGAGGCTCTTCCCAATGTACTGCATTTGATTCGAGTCCAGCCTGACTTGCTTCATGACAGGGGACAGAGCTAGAGCCAGAAGAGACTTCTGGAAACTCCAGGCAGTGGAAAATAGGGGTGCCTACTTGTGCATGATCCAAAACAAAAGCAACACTCAACAATAAGATAAGCATAAAAATACCAATGAAAGTTCTCAATTTTCAAGTGATAATAGCTTTTTTTTTTGGTGGTACCAGGGATCGAACTCAGGACCTTGCACTTGTAAGGCTGCCGGTGGAACCACTGAGCCAAATCCCCTGCCCCAAGTGGTAACAACTTTGATGCTTTTCTTTTTCCCAGAAATACAAAATATTAAATTATTTTTGATACTCTAGTGCCCCAGGAATATGCATTATCTGCCTCTTGGGAAGATCAGCACGAGACAAGAGCCAATCTGGGTTGTAAAGTAAAAACTGAATTATGGAATCAAAAATATCACAACCCTTCCCCCACCCCAAGCTCCCAACAGTGTGGTGAGAACTAAGAACACAGCAGATGGGAACACTCTGGAAGAGACAGGGCGGGTGTGAGTGAACAGCATGCTCCTCAAAATGCCACGCAGAGGGCCTCACGCAGCCTTCTTGATTCCTGCGGCCCACTGATGCCCCTGCCTAGGGCAGTGACTCAGGTAGAGCAACCTAAGCAAGACACACTTGGGTGAGAAACGGAAGCAAGGAAACCCAGTTAGCCCAACACAAGCGAGTCGGGGATGAGGCACTGTGTCCGGCTTGGAGATGGAGGAACTGGAACAGTGCCCTTGCCCCGAGGGTCCAAGCCATGGAAGATGAAATGCACAACTTTTTCTCAGGAACTCAAAGTCTTCTGCAGCTTCCGAACCCTCCAGAGACACGGCTACACGGTACAGAATCGTAAGGATAGGGATACTGCCGACTTGCGTTTCTGTAATTAGCTTGCACATCTCTGCGCTGTAGCCGCTGTTGCTCTGTGATTGCTGATTCTGAGTCCCGATGCTTTGGGCATGCTATTGCTCCCTGATTACTGTTACTGCCAGGGTATGCTGCTGCCTGAATACAGATGCTGCCTGACTACGAATAAATCCTAAGTACAGACACTACCTGAGTAACAAAGACAACCTAAGCACAAAACGGGTGATGAGTGTTTTTTCCAGGCGCTCAGTTCTACAGGATTTGCCAAAGCCCCTGGTACTCCTAATGCCTACACCTCTGCCTGGAGGCCATGCAGTGGGAATGAGAGCGCCCCTTCCCCCTACCCAGAAGGGTTTAAACATTCTCCAGCCCCTCCTCTCCTTCTCCTTGTTGCTCCAGTTCCCACCCCAGCAGAAACTTCCCCCAGAAAGACAGAGCCCTCTGCCCAAGACAATGGATAGCCTCTCAACCCTGTGCCCCAGGAGGCGAGGAGGCACAATACAGTGCCTTTCTTTGCCTACCGCCCAGCTGCCAGCCTGGGAGGACAAAAGGTACCCGCAGGTGGGAGGGCTCCATCTGCTGACATGGCACCTGGTCCCTGGAGCTGAGACCCAGCTAGTGGGAGGACGCCAGTGAGGTTAGGGCAGGGGGTGGGAAGGCCTGAGAGTGTGGGGGCCAGAGGAGGGCACCGCACAGCTTTCCTTACAGTTAGGCCTCTCCACTCGCTACTGGGTGTGAAGAGTGGCCAGGATCTTCTCCAGAGGGTGCAGGCATTCAGCTGCCCTGGTCCCCAGCCCCAGAGAGGAGCCCCCATCACTGTAGGTTGCTCTGCAGTGAACAGGTCTGTGGGGTGAGAACTGCTCGTGGTAGGGTCCACCTGCTCTGGGCCTTTGCCAGAGGTGAGTCTGGACCCATCACTGGCTCTCTGCACCGCAGTGAGCTGCAAAGGTGTTGATCACCAGTGAACACACCTCAACAATGAACCACCATGGGCAAGAACTTGTGAGAGGCCAGGCAGCTACGGGGGAGCCGGGAGGCTGAGTCAGTGCTCAGACTGCTGCACAGGGAGAGAAGGTCCAGCTCTGGCCCCCACCCTCTCTGCACCAAGAGTGAGATGTGTGGTTCCGGGTAGGGTGGGGCCCCTCTGAGGCTCTCAAATCCATTCATCCAAACCGCACAACCAGCGGTCACTATCTGTTGATTGAACAGCTACAGGGTGCCAGGCGCTCAGTGGGGCGGCAGTCCCCGTGGGGAGCCAGAGAACGGAGCCCCTAGGGAGGGCAGGGCTGGAGAGGCTGGGCCAGCCCCTCCCCCAGCTCCACACCGCCCAGGAGGGGGGTGTCTGCACCAGGCCTCTGTCCCAGAACATCTGTTTCTTTTCAGGGTGGGGGTGGGGTGAGAAGAAAGAGTGAGGGGGAACCAGGGGCTCCTATTGCAGCTTTCAACTCTCAGGGCGCTGGGTAATTGAAGGCAGCTTCCCAGGAACAGGCCCAGAACAAAGGGGGCCTTTCAGGGGTGTCCTAGCAAGGCCATCAAGCGACTGCTTGGGTTCCCGGGCCTCTTAACAGCTCCTCAAAGCCACTCAATCAGCAATTACGGGGGTCTGGGGAGGGGAAGTACAGACTCCAGGTCCAGAGGAGGGCACAGGGAGGGGGCCAGAAAGAGGGAGGACCCCGGAGAAAAGACTGAGACAAAAAAGGGGAACAAAGCCAAGCCCCTTTGCTTCGCCTCTCCTGCACCAGACTCAGCCAGTGAGGGTGGAAGCGGGGAGCAGTGCAAGGCTTGGGGACGGTGCTGAGACCGGGCAGGGCAGGACCCCTTCTCCAGTTGACTCTCATGAAGTCTGGCAGGAATGTATTGCCCCGGGTGGCAGGGAGGTCATCCTGGGTGGGACCTTTAGAGACCCAAAATCCAAAGCTCTCCACCCGCCACCCACCATCAGGGGAGCTCTCTGCCCACCTGGCCCTGCCCCTTGGGTGCCCGAACCCTGGGCTCACCTTCAGCAGGGGCTGCAGTCTCTTGGGGATTGGAGCTGCAGGGCCGAGGTGCCTTCTCCCAGGACATCTTTGAAGGATTTCACTGAATAACCCCTGGAGGAACCATTTTCTCCGGGCTCTGGGCTCCCTATGCTAAGACAGCTGCGCCAGAGCCAGGAATGTTCCTTGTAAAATGTCAACTCAGACTCAACTCAGACATGTGCTACCTGTGACTTTATGGCCAACCCCATTGCTGTAAGAGATGTCTGTGGTCAAGGGCCTTGAGGGAGGTCCCCCAGGATGGGTTTGGGGTGAGCGAAGGCCTTTGCCCTATATTACCCCTCAGAGTACTCGGCCCTCTGAGCCCCAGCCGTCTGCCCTTGTGAGCGCTGTGACCAAGGGCAAGCTGTCTGACTTCTCTGCACCTCAGTTTCCCTGGTTGTAAGGTAAGAATCATCTCACTCTCAGGGCCGGGTGGTTCTATGTTAAAGGGGGAAACGTTCAGAACAGATGGCGCGGGGCAGCCGTGCAGTGCGTAGCTGTGCCTTCCCCGCCCTTCCCGAGCCTCTAACTGCCCTGCAGTGCCCTCTTCTTTTAGCACAGGTTGGGCCTGCCAGAGTCCATGGGGGTCAGGCCAAGGTGAAAAAGGAGATGGGGCCTCAGCTGAGCCTACTGACTGGTGGCCTAACCTGACAGACAAGAGGCAACTCAGACACAGCCCAAAGGGGCGCTGCGGGCAGGACCACCACTGGGATACAAACCCCACTGTTCCTTCTGTGCCTGGCCAGGCCCTGTTCACATCAAACACTCGCTGCCTCCTCCAGGCAGCCCTCTGCATGCCTTGGGGTAGAAAAGCCCCCCCACCCCCCTGCTAAGACCTCCTCTGCCCTGCAGCACAGGAAACAGAAAGACCTTTGGGCACTGCTTTCCTCCCAGAGCCAATCACTGCCCTGCAGCACAGGAAACAGAAAGACCTTTGGGCACTGCTTTCCTCCCAGAGCCAATCACTGCAGTTCCAGAAGATTTCACTGAGAAAGAAAATGCGCTGTACTTACACAAGGTCTTCCCTAATAGGTCCTAGTGTGATGAAATGCAGAGTCTGTTTCGCTCACTACCAGAGCCACCAATCACAAACGGGGCCTGGTGCAGACACACAGTTGTAGAATAAGTGCACCAAGGAATGAATGAGTGAGTGAGTGAATGAATGAATTGCATGGAGGGCAAAGCCAGCACTTACTCCTCCCAGGGCCCAGCTGCAATCCTTAGAGCCTGTCCTGGCTCCCAGTGAGTGCACCATGTACTCAAGTGTGTAAAATACGATCTCTCCTGTACTCTTGTTTCTTACTTTTTCAAATGGGCTTAATTCTGTCATAATGAGCTCGTCCTTGGTGCTGCCAAGAACCGGATATCAAGATTGGGGGATGTATGCCACGGGCCTGGCATTCTTCTTCACTGAGATTTATTTGTGTGCTAAATATACATATTTTTTTCCTACCAAACTTGGACTGTTATTGTGAAAATGGAGTTGGAATGCAGCCATGCTGCATTTTTAGAAGTTGCATCAAATAAGCCACAGGCGCTTAAAAAATCTCGTCTTTGGGTGTGTTTCTTTCTGCCTGCAGCCCCCTTCTCCTGTGTCCCTTGAGGCACAGGTCTGGACTCCCCCACTGTGCCCTTGGGGAGAGCCAGCCCCTCACTCTCTAGCCCTTCACCCATAGCCCTATAGTGTGTTTGTTTGTGTGTCAATTTGACGTTCTGTTTATTACCATATCACAGGAAATCGGCTGGGAAGATTTCCACCAGTTTTGGAGGGTGAGATTTGGGTGGTCTGACTTAGAATATAAAGCAGGCGGCTTGTGAAAAAGTCATCCTCAGAAGAGCTGGGGGTTGGGGGGCTTCAAAAGGATAGGCAGTGATTTCGCAGAGCCAACGAAATTGCAGGAAGAATGGCTGCAGATCCATAGGGACACACACAAGAGATCTCGGGACACCAGCAGCTGCCACCAGCCAGCCAAGTGACAGTCGCAGGATTAGATGCCCCACGCTCCTGACACAGTGGCCTTGTAACTCAGTGAGCTGTGGCAGGGCTGGCTGTGTTTGGAACTGGATGTCGGGAGGGGCCCCATGCCCTGTCACTTAGTCTGTTCCCTCCAGCCCGTGGTTGCTCCTGGGAGGCAGGACATGTCTCTACCGCCTCTAGGTTCTAAGATTGAGCTCAAAACATGAATGCTGAGGCAGAGTGTGGCCAGTGTTAGAGCGCTTGCTTAGCATGTTCAAGGACATGGGTTCCACAGTAACCACCCCCCAGAAAAAAGAAAAAAGAAATGCACTTTGAGGAGCAGTCAGCAGCTGCCCCTCCCTGTGCATCTGTTGGCCGTGGGAAGGCATGGACACCAGGCCTCTCTGGTGTCCAGGGCAGAAGCATAGGGGAAGCCAGGCTGGTCAAGTCAAGGTCCTGTCTTCCCCTGCACATCCCATAGCTGCAGAATCATGAAGTTGTCTTCCTGGGGTCCTCCTGGATATGCATGCCAACAGATATGCAAACAATGATTTTTTGGTAGTACTGGGGATTGAACCCAGGGTCTTTGCACTGAGTTACATCCCCAACCCTTTTTATTTAGAGACAGGATCTCACTAAGTCACTAAGTTGCCCAGGCTGGGCTTAAATTTGTGATCTTCCTGCCTCAGCCTCCCAGAGTTACGGACATGGGCCATTACAAATGGTTCAATTTAACATTTTAACAACATCGGACACAGCAGGAAACAGGGTGACACATGTCTTCCTATGCTGATGTCCTTGGTATTCCCCAGCCTCTCTGTCTCTGAGATGTACTGCCCTGGTGACAGCCTCCTGGAACTTGGACTAGCCATGGTGGCCCTGATGCCAAGTGTATGGGTCTCAAGAACAAGTGCAGGGAGAATCGACTCAAACCATCCTGATAGCTCTTCCAGAGGCACTCAGTGTCCTCCTCCAAGCAGCCCTGGGCTCGACAGTGCCACCTGTCCCCTGTGAAGGAAGGGCTGCCAGCGATTCTGCAGCACAGGGTCACTAGGGGCAGGGGTTGAGTCCAAGGTGGAGCCCAGGTGCCAAGCCACAGCCAAGTGCTACCTTTCAAGTGACATCTGCTGCACAGCAGCCCTCTGCGGAGAAAGACAAGGTCAACGGGGACCACTGCTGGGGTCTTGGATGGGGCTAGCGTCTCAGGCTTGTACCTGCTGCCTGTTGGACCTGAGCCACCTCATGTGACTTTCTGAGCCTCAGTTTCCTCATTGGTACACAAAGCTAACACTAATCCTGTCTCAGAGGCTTGTCACTCTAACTGCCGAGGCCCAAGGGACCCTGAGTGAAGCCCCAGGGGGCACAGGGTACAATCATTGGAGTGACTTGGTGCATGTGTGACTTTGGGTGTCAGTGACAAAGGAATAATAACTTTATAACCATGAATCACTGTTCTGCTGAGAAGTGGAATGGCCTCCCAGCATTTGGGAGGCCAAAGCATGAGGATCACGCGAGCCCAGGAGTTTCTCAGTGAGCCTGAGAAACAATGAGACCCTGTCTCCAAGCAACAGTAACCAATGGATTGTTTCTCCGTCCTGGAAAACCTGTACTTGGTCTTGAGTCTTTTTTGGCCAGTCAGCTTCATGACCTTTCTTTCTTTTAATAACTATGTACAGAGAGCCCAGGTCCCAGGCACTGCTGGAGACTCTCCAGGGCTTCCAATAGTGTCCAACAGGCAACACCGCCATGATCAAAACCGTTCCTCACTCCTCCTCCCGGGAACTCAGCTTTTGGAGCAGATAGACCCCATCCAACCTTACTGACACCCTGAGCAAATCCTCAACTGTCTGAGCTCTGTGGGTGGGCCTCCTGAGCCTGGCCTGGGTCAAGCGGTCCTCAGAGGATGGGCAACTGCTGTGATACCTGTCTTCCAGAGCCTGGAGCCTCCTCTCTCTAGGGTAGTGCTCTTGAGGAGTGATTGGTGCCAGGTTGCTATGGAAACAGCGTACAAGTGATAGGCTTGCTACGCACAAACCGGACCATGTGTTGAGCAGGGAGATTCCAGATCCCAAGCCCTCTCTGCCCACCCTGGGGGTAACTCCTGAGCCAGAAGGTCTTGAATACAAGGACTCTTCTCCTAGCAACTTCTGTAGTGAAGGCCACATGGCCTCCTGTCATCGGGCTACTCTGTATCCTGGCAGGCTCCTCCAGACAAGGTGACACAAAGCTCTTGGCAGTATCTTCTGCACTCAGAGAGCCTGCTCCCTAAAGGTCTGTGCCTGGCCCACGAGGGTGGACTAATAACGAGCCCTGCAGAAGGTCCAGGGCCACCAAACAGAGCCACACAGGAAGTCCCTCCTACTGGCTGCCGCAAGGAGCCCAGAGCTGCAGCTCTAGGGCAGAGGAGTCCCTTTTTCTTTCCCAAGTCTACAATGAGGGTCTAGAATGTAGAATCTGGTTGCATCTTTGGGGACTTCAGGGAAAGGACCCAGGCCTCCATGGACTACCTGGGTAAGTCCCCAGTATCTATGGTATGTGGCTGCTTAGCGTTAAATACCAAAAAAAAAAAAAAAAAAAAAAAAAAAA